TCCAATAGGGTCTTCGCACCCTTTTGGGTGCTCGGACCCTAATCATGATATTTTTAACTTTCTGAGAGTCTTCAAACAACTCATCTGTGATGTGTCGTTCTGTTTGGAAAATAAACCAAATCTAAGCTAAACTGGAGAAATATCAAAGTATGTGTAGTCAGATTTTTTTTATCCAGTAATTGTAACTGACTGCAGACTGTAGTGACTCCAGTGTTTGTTTTGAGTTTTTGTAAAATGAATAATCAAATTATTATTTTTTTCCCTTTTATATGTATGACATTATAAGTGCATCACACTGCACAGAAGACATTTTTGTGTTTTTCTCTTCCTCTAGTCATGGTTATGCTGTCTGAATAGTTGTGCAGGACGTTATAAAGCAAGATGAGTCCATAGGGAGTAAAAATGTAAAACACCCAAAAACTGCTCGAAATTCAGAAGGTTAAGCATTAAAGCTTTAACAATACTGGTCTAGTTCAGATAATTTGTTGTCTACGTTTATTTAAAACAAACAAGCAAACAAAAAACCCTCACTGGCCTTAGAGAGCTGCCGATAGCAGCTGGTTTAGGTGCATTTCAGAAAAATGACTGCAGGATGTATCAGAGCTGTGCTCAAATCTTCAAATCTGACCTGTGTGCTGGTGGGCCTGCCTTCCTCTGCGTCTTTAACTGCGTGTTTGTTGCAGATCATCAAGACAACAGATCAGACCGAGACTGAGGAGGGCGCTGAGAGCACCGTCAGTGTCAAGGTCACATCTGACATGACTGTTTTCTGCAACGCCTCCAACGAATACGGCACTGACTCAGTGACCTTCAACATCAAAGCCAGTGAGTTCCCTGCTGCTCATGTTTCCTCTTTGTGCTCTTCGTCTTGGTGTTTGTGTGTTCGTCTCTATCCGTTCACTTCCCCCCCAACGCCTTCTGTTCCTCCCCTTCTTGTTTGTCTGCTATTTTTACTGGGTCTGAAGGCCATGTGCCACAAGGTTTTGCCCGTGATTCCAGTCATTTCAATGTGTGTTGTTGCTGTTTCCAATGAGACATTGTGAAGCTGTGTTGCTGTTAAATGTGCACCCCTCCTCCCCCATGTGGTAACAGTGAGTGTCCTCCCTTCTGTGCCCTCTACCTGCTTTCAGCTAAACATACCACTACAGCAACCAGCACCACTACTACCACTACTACCATTTCCCATGACACAGGTAAGACCACTCGAGCCAAATCAACTAAAATTAAACAAAGCGTCATGAAAAAGACTCGAAAACTAGGGAGAGAGATACCTCAGGAGTCAGAGGTTAGCTATCTGCATGTTCAGTGTTAGGTGGTTTACAGACTTCTTTTCATTTAGTCTGGCTGTGCTGTTTTACTGTGAGTCAGACAAAATGAATGTGAGCCAGAAAGAAAAACTTCAAAAACACCTGAAGGCTGCAGCAGTTACCACAATGGCATGACTGTTGGGTCATTACAGCAGTTCTGGTTTGTGATTGCTCTGATTAAAAACTCTGTGGTTTCCACGAGGCATTTACAATTTTAAATGGGTTGTATCACTGAGGTCTGGTATTGCTGCAAGGTGTCTTTTTGACTAATTTGTTGGCGCAGCTGGTATTCTCTGCTTGTTAAGTCATTACATGATAAAGCTACTTTTTTGGCCTTTAAGTATGAATGAAAATTTAGAAATCATGTGAAAATAAAAGGTTTGTACTTTCTAAAAAGAGATCAGTTAAATCAGATAATCAGAAATGAATTCCTGGCTACCTTCTACAAAGAAGTGTTATGAGTGGAGCGCATATATGTACACGTTACACAAACGCACACATGCATCAGTGTGACTCAATGAAGGAGCTAATGCTTTAAATGCACTCAGAGAAAGTCTCCTGACTCCCATTACGGGTGCTGCTGCCTTGTGTTTTCACGTTTGTCCCTCCTCTCTCTATCTGTATGTCAAAGCTAGCAAATTTCCAGCCCCTCACAGGAAAACTGTTCTGGGTTGATGCTTCTGAGATTAAACAGGACTGCTCTGGGAAATGACTGTTGTGCTGCTGACCACAGTTTGCATATCAGACTAGATGTTTAGCTTCAAATCACAGATAAGATTGTTTCAAATTAAACATTTATTCAAGCCTCTGTGGAAGCGGTCTAAACTGAGTGTGTGTGTGTGTGTGTGTGTGTGTGTATGTGTGTATATGTGTGTGTGTGTGTGTGTGTGTGTGGCCTGCTGTTGTGAGTTATTTACTGCGTCCCACTGATAATTGTGCTCATTTGGTTTTTCTCAGTTAAAACAGAAACACCTAACCCAGCCAAGAAATTCAAGAAAGGTTTGTACGTTGCGCTGCTGCAGATTCTTTCCCACCTTTATGCAAAGGCACAAAAAAAAAAGCTTCCTTCCACTTCTCCTTGAAAAGCCCCCCCCTCGCTGTCTCGCCTCCCGGCATTCAGACCCCCTTCCCCCCTGATGAACAAAAACATCAAAACCCGTCACTGAGTTGTTCATCATCTTCACCTCTTCCTGTGCATGTTGTCATGCTGTTGTACAAGCACACCTCTCCTCCCACAGTCCTGAAAAAACTTCCTTCCTTTCTTTAGGTTGCCAGGTTTAGGTCACGTGAATGATGCTCGTGCTGCACTCTCTTTAGACGCACTCTGCACCTTCACCTCTGTTAGGCTCTGCTGCTGTTGTCTCGTTCAAAATCCAGCAGCACAGAGTAACCCTGTGGTTGTTTTTGTGATTCTTCTCCACCAGAGGGCAATGGTGTTATCATTGCAGTCATCATTATCTGCATCCTGCTCCTGGCCATCTTAGGCAGCGTGCTTTACTTCCTCTACAAAAAGGGAAAGATCTGCGGCCGGTCCGGCAAGCAAGACCTGTAAGTACTAGTGAGAGCAACTAGATGTAACAACACATGATTTCTCATAAAATACGAAGAGAAAGAAAGAAAGAAGGTAAACATAGGTATGAAAGGCATGGGTGACATCTATTATCGTTCTTCATGATGGCTCAGTTTCACAACAGGGTTTTGTACAAAACTCAATGCAGAGTGCTGTTTAGCACAAACAATAAATGAACTGCTCAGTTGTCAGCATATACCCAGTGTCCAGTGTCCAACGCATCAGGTGTTACCATTTATCTTTATTTTAGTCCTTGTGTTTTATTCCATCTTTATTTTATATAGTAGTGAAAAAAGATGCAATGTTATAATGTTATAGTCTGTTGCAGTCGTGTAGAATGTTTTCTTTAACGTCCTCTGACATTACAGCTGTCACACAAACATCATTTTGTCTTGAATACATGTAGGTTTTATTTTTAATGTAGGCATTCTTACTCTACGTAGTAAGAAAAACTCAGTTCTGTGTAAAAATTGGCACTTCTTTAAATTCCAATTTTCTCAAGAGTGTTCATGCGATTTTTATTGTAATAAGAAAAAGTATTTTTTAATATGAAAACAGGTACAATGCGCGAGATTAAAAAACACACACACACACACACAGATAGAGCATTACTATAGCAGCAAACAACTGTCTGCTGTGTAAAGATGTAGTGGAGCAATAGTGTCCTGAGCAGAGAATGGCACCACACTCCATGAACTATCTCCCAGCCTTAATCATCTCTCTCTGGCTGCACAGTTCACAGCATTTTTTCCTAATGTGAGCTCGATGTTCTCTGCCTTGCAGCACCAAAGAGAAGTCCAACAAAGATAACATTGTGGTGGAGATGAAGAGCGACAACACAGAGGAAGCAATTCTCCTCGGAGTCAATGGAGAAAAACAACCACCCAACGACCAGGTACATATCTAATCTTAAACGGAAAAACCGAAGTGCTTCTGTTCAAATATAATACTGGTCTGATTGCACCATTATCATATTTACACATCCTCCACCCTGCCTCTGTGTGTGTGTTTGTAGTAAAGTGCAGTGAGTACCTGCTTGTGCAGAAGTGAGGAGGTGACCGCAGGCAAACCGACAGCTGCTCCAATTCTTCCCTCTCAGGCTCAGACCCGCCTTGATGCCTTCAAGCTCCCAGCTCAGCTCCTTCTTCCAGAGTTATGTCATGGAAAAGCTCAGTTATCCGTCAGTGAGTATCAAGATGGAAGACCGAGACTCAAGTTATTCCAAGCTGCAGCCTTCGCTTACCGTCCTTCACTCCACAGCACGTTTCTGTTGGAATGCAGCTCCATATCATAACTCTGCTAATAAATCTTTCACCTTCAAAACCAAGAACAAACCGTAGCCTGTACCTTTCATTACCGCAAGCCTTGTATACTGCTGATTGTCCATAGAACAATAATTAGAGCACAAAGCTGACCAGGGACTGTTTTTATACCCAACTAAGCATCACCTCAGGCAAAGCAATCACTGAAGAGCAGCCTGAAACAGCTCAACAAGTGTACATATTATAATCTATGTATATATTTCTTTATTTAAAATAACACAATAGGAAAAAAAGAAAAAAAAAAACAAACAAAAAGAAATGACCAGATAGTGTTCTTTTTTTTTTTTTTTGGGATGCTCTTTTAGAGAGAGAAAGGGGAGCTTAGTTAGATATTCTGTTCTAATTTTTTTTGTCTTGTTTTGCTTAAGTCTGTACACTGAAATCTTAAGTCTCCAGCGACGCCTCTGATCTAAAGCCACGTCACAGCCTCACCAAATATTTGCCTTTTAGCTCCGAAAACAAATCTGTGGGTCATTTGATCGCATGTTGATTTTTTTTTTCTCTACATCTGACACTCACCTTTCACACTCCCCAGTTTGTGTATATTAATGAGGATATTTTTGTGAGACAGGTGAATAATCTGTTCAGGACTTGCCATAGAACTCTTAACATTCTTTTTACTTTTCTCTGCATTTTCTGTCCTTCAGTCTAGTTTTGATATTTTATGTGTGTTTGAGTTCATCGTTGCCAGCAGTCAAGTTACAGATGCCTTACAAATGACATTGAAAGCCATGTAGAAAATGCCACATTTTGTACTGTTGGTTATATTTAATGTTTGGTGCACTGATTTCTTTGAGGTGAAACAGCTGTTTCCTTTACGTGTCTGTATGATCATGAAACATATTTCTGTAGCTATTTTTTTTCTTTCTTTTTAAATGAGATGAGGGTAGAACAGATTATTGGTCCATGCTAATGATGGTTCACAGCATGAAGTTGCCCTCGTTTTTAAGGAGAACAAAACATGTTTCTGTTTAATGAATGAATTAAATCATGTGTTGACTGAAACTTGAAATAATCTGTTGGAGCCCAGAGAGACACAGAATCCCCCTCAGACTTGATGCCTTAAATTGACAACCACTCCTCACTTACATGTAATGACAAGTGATTTTCACGCTGGTAACTACAGGATGTGACTACTGAGGAGGGGGGAATGACAGTGACTCCACATATGCAAATTAAGTTTGAAGACAATCAAGCAGCTCTGTGCAGCTGTCACACGTACCTTCCTACCCTCTGTCAGTCCGTTTTATTTCTGCTGTTTTGAAGAGCTACCACTGTTACATGATTGTTTGAAATCTGTTAAATGCCTTTTCATGTCTTGGATTTGTAAATGTATTAGAATTAATGTCATTCGTGACATTCAAACCAATTTACCAACACGTTCATTGTTTGTAGTTTTTGAAAATTATACCAAATAAAGATTGGCTGGTAAGAGAAAAGAACTGAAAGTGTGTCTGTTTGCTTTCAAAAATGTCCGCTTGACTTATTACAACAGCGTTGGGTCAAAGTTTAGGCAGAAAAGAAATGCTCTTACTGTTTTTAAATTTTGCAATTTCATAAAACATGAAAGCAGCTTCTTCAAAAAGAGCGACTGTATGTAATTTGATAATAATAATGATTACAGGAAAAAAAACAAAAAAAAAAGTTGTTTATGTAACTTCCAATGACTTTAGGTCAGCTGAACATGAATAATGTGACATTTATCTACAGTCAGAGAAAGAATTCTAAACAGAATTAACTTTTCTAAATTAAATGATTGATGTGTCAATGCTGATTTGGGTTGAGAACGCATTTTCTTTCAAGGACATTTTCCGAGAATTAGTCCAATGTTCAACCACTCTCTTCAGAAAACTTCAAAGTAAAATACAGGCCTGTAAATAAAGTGCTCTTGTGGTCCGACTCCTGCAGACAAACAAAAATCTGTAGCGGGCCCTTTTTGTAAACAGTAGACAGGTTTATTAGGTTACATAGGACTTTTATAGGATGGTGATTTGATATACTAGTCAGGCAGTCAAATCGTATTTTGGTTTTTAATGCAATTACAAAATGCATCTCAATGCATGCTGCAAGACTGCAGGATATATGAACAAGGGCGCTGAAGTATTGAATCCGTCTGCCGTCCTGACTACTTAGAGGTTTCTGCAAAACTTGAGCGTCTTTAGAATTTCATCTACTGTGTTGTGCTGTGAAACTCACTTGTCTCTGTATCTGTCCCTTCATGCCGCCTTCTGCTCGACTTGTTTCGAGTCATCTTGGGTTTGTCGTCTCTTCTTGGCCACTCCTGCTTGCTCAAAAGGTTACTTGTAAAATGTCCAGTACCTCAGTGTTGTACAGCATCTAAGTGATACAACAAAAGCAACTGGACTTGCTCGCCTTCGTTTTAGCACTTGAATATACCATGACCTGGATGTAGAGTCTCCACAGTGTTGTTCAGGATTGCAGACGTTATATCAGCATGTATTATGAATACACGTGTTTTGGGACTTAAAGAAATGCAGAAGATATCTTTTGCTTTATTTGTAGTTTATAAATGTTTCTTTGTTTTTATCCATCCATCCATTATCTATACACCGCTTAATCCTCATTAGGGTCGCGGGGGGGCTGGAGTCTATCCCAGCCGACTCAGGGTGAAGGCAGGGGACACCCTGGACAGGTCACCAGTCTATCACAGGGCTACACTTAGAGACAGACAGCCAAGCACACTCACATTCACACCTACAGACAATTTAGAATCACCAATTAACCTCAACATGTTTTTGGACTGTGTGGGAGGAAGCCGGAGAACCCGGAGAGAACCCACGCTGCACAGGGAGAACATGCAAACTCCACGCAGAAAGATTCCGGTGCCCACACCGGGACGCGAACCGGCAACCTTCTTGCTGCGAGGCAACAGTGCTACCAACTGCGCCACCCTGCAGCCCTCTTTGTTTTTATCCAGAATGTAATTATGCAAAACAACCATATTTTTAGAGAGGACAGACATGTGATGGCTTTTGCTTATCATTTTATTAACAGCAATGTGCATACTTCCAAAGTGATATGAGCTTTAAAAACCATCAAAAAATTAATGAATGCCTTTTACTGATGAGAAGCGACGCGGCTACGCAGAACAACGGCTCCCTCTTCTGGCAGAAAATTGAAATACCCCCAACAGCGGGGGCTGAGGGCAACAGAGGGGGGAGGGGGGGCTGGTAAGCATCGAGCATCTCCGAGAGGATGAGCACTGATCTGGGAAAGGCAAACAAAAAAGGATGCCGAGGCCTTTCACAGACAAGCGCTTGCACTCAGCGATGAGGCCTGACGCGGCTGAAGAGGCAGAGGACAGATCAACACAAGCAATACCGCACAATCTCGCCTTCAGAGATCAACAGGTACAGATCAATACCGACAGACTCTCTTCAAAAACAAAGGCCTTATTCTAAAACATGGTGAGGGTCTCTAAACATATGGCACTGCTCACAGAATTATTCACATAAGTAAACAAAACCTTTGGAACAAAATACATGTACAGGAATGCAAAATGAAATAAAACAGCCATTTTTTTTTCTTTTCATATCACTAACTTTATACAGTTTGCTTTTCTTTAGAGTGACAGTATCAAAGCACAAATTGGTATACTGTGCAAAAACAAAATAAAGGTAATTAATACACAACAATGACATGCTGTCCTTGAAACATCAACAAAACATTGGTACAGTATTGAGGATTGGGGGGATGTCCCCGTCAATTACCCATCATTCAAGAAGTTTCTCAAGGCAACTAGGAACAGAAGAAAAAAAAAAAAGAAAAAGAAAAGAACTAGAGGATGGCCAGACAGCGCGGAGATTGCTTCCAGTCAACACACAGCATTACCGAGAACAAGCTAGGGCTGATTAGCTATTGACGTGACTGACTCCCTCCCAATAAAAACATTCTTCATATGCTGGGAGTGGTTCAAGTCAATGTACCTAAAAGCTCCTTGCGTGGATTTATCTTATTCATTCATAGTACCTGGAAATTAAGCTGCTGACTCTAGTCCTGCGAACACTGGAAATAATACAAAAAAATGTGCAAGTTATAATGTGACGAGAAAAAAAAAAAAAAAAGAAGTAATAGGCTACTTGTGTGACTTCATTAAGCGGATACTTTTGGCTACATGTCACCTGGATGAACAGACAGCTGACAGGTGAGCTGCCGTCTACGCCAGCGAGTCTCCTCCGGGTTTTGACAGCCAGGGTGAACGCCACAAACATTATTCCTGAGTTAGTTCTTACAGTTGGCCCAAACACTGATTTTTTTTTTTTATGTAGACTTGGGGGTGGGCCAGCAAACCCATGAGCCTACGATTTAAAAAAACCAACCAAAAAAAAAGCCTCAGCAATCACTCCCCTCTCAGTGGGGCAAAAGCGCGGAGAAAGGGAACCGATGTGAAAGAGAAGCCTGAATCCATCACAAAATGGCTGGTTTCCATACCCAAAGCATTTTGTTTGCTTTATTACTGTTGCTAAACAGAGTCTACCTACAGAGAATATATAAGAAAAAAATGTTAAAAACACTGACGAGTCGACAGCTTGAGAGGGCTGCAGGCTCACAAGCCGCTTGTACTTTCAAGTATGCTACATTATGGACTGGAGAAACAGGTGATACTGTCACTTTAAAGAAACAAGATGACGGTTAAACACAATATTCACAAATGTACACTTAAGGCTTAATTGTTTAGCACTAACAATAGTAGCAGCAGTGAAGCACTTCTGAATTAATTAGAATAACAATATTTATGATCATATTACAATAATATATTACCAAAGTAAATCAATGACTTTTTTTTTTTGTTGTTGTTGTTTCGTAACACCGGACTGAGCTGGACACGGAAACCCGAACCAGCCAGCCAATGAAGTTAGACAAAGACAGAACGAAAACGTTTCAGCCGCCACGGATCACACAACGCTAGCCTGTCTGGTACGGCAGGGTCGTCAACATTAGTACGTCCTCTAACAATCTCACTGCCAGGCTCTACAGCTACACTAGGCCCTGCCATATGAGTTAGAGCAGTAGTACGTTTACAGAGCACGAATCTGAGTATACCGACTGTAATTCCACATTCATGTTGTACAGGAGCAGGGGTTCATTTAAGAGCAGGCCATGAGGAGTAGGACTGGCAAACACACACTCACACA